GGGAAGGAAAGCCATTTCAGGAATCAGGACATTTACATAAAAATTGAAAAGAAACTGTGCTAAAATGCAATCTTGTTTCACCCCTTGATTAATGCATACCTTGTATGCCAATTTGTACCTGCATCATATTGCTGTGATGCAGCAGCTTTTTCAGCCCCAAAAGTCTTCTATTAAAGTTAATTTTGCCCATTTTATGCCATAGGCACTCTATTTATTAAGTCAAAGGCAGATGAAAAGTCAATGAATGCTTTATAAAGAAACTTATTAGGGCTCCTAGTGTATTTGGTAATTAAATTGTGAAGGACAAATGCTTGATCAATTGTGTTTCTCCCTTTTCTGAAGCCAGCTTGCTCTTAAAAAATTATGGATTGATTCCTGTCCCTTTCCATAAGTTTATTCAAAAGATATCATGCATAGAGCTTAGTAGCCACATCCAGAAGACTAATGGGTCTGTAATAGAGATGGCGATATTCGTATTCATGTACGAATACAGATATCCCCTCACAGGTGGCCCAGCCCATGGGGCCGAATGGTCCACTCACTGATCCATCATTGCCACGGGCGCCGCGATCCTTCCAATGACTCTGGAGCTCATGATCAGCGAGCCATTCTTCAACCTGGCAGGAAGGCTTGTTGTCCTGCCTCCCCCCAGGAGTGGCGAGCCAATCACGAGCGCCAGAGTCATTAGAAGGATCACAGCACCTGCAGCAACGGCAGATCGGTGAGTGGACTGTCCGGCCCCATGGGGCTGGACCCTCGTTATTCCACCTGTGGAATAACGTGGATATTCATAGTCAAATACCCCCATCTCTAGTCTATAATTGTAGAGATCTATAATTAGATCACCTTTCTTAAAGATGGGGAGAACAATGTTTGTTCTCCAGCCTGAGGGGAGATTACCCATACAGCTAATATAATTGAATAGATTGGCTAATATATTGGTGAAGATTCTCAGTCATCCAGGTGAGTTTATTTGGAAGTTGAGTCATGGCAGCTGGACTTCTTTCTTATTAGGTTGAAACGTTTTGCTACTCATCCAAGTAGTTTCTTCAGTCTGAGGAGAGTTGGCAGGTGTCAGTGGCAAACACTTCAGCAGGGATCATGTCTTCCCTGGTGGCCTTGCCATTACGAAGAGTTGAAATCAAGGCCCTGATTTCTGCCGAAGAGAGGACTGATGTTTTGTGGTATTTAGAAATCTACAGTCTGAACATTCATGAAGGCAGTCTTTTGCACAGTAGCAAACAAATTACTGCCAGAACACCATCACACAGCC